CCCCCCCCCAGCGGGCCACGGTAAAATTATTAAACGTTGACCAGTCCGCGGCGATAAAAAGGTTGGGGAGCACTGATCTAGGGTATAAATTAGAATGAGGTGTCCTAGGGTGCATAATTAGTATAAACGTATATTTTGCAATTTAACTAATTATATCAAAGTGCAAAGAACGTACAATGTACAGAATGTACAAATATAATGTGTCAAAGTTTAAAATGTATCAAAATAATGATTACTGTTGCAGTTGGGCAGGAATGATAACATTATCATGTATTTATTACTTATAGTAAGCATAATGACTGTGTCTGTGTGTATGAAAGGAGAACTATCTGTGTTGCCCACAGCAACCAGTAACATTTTGCCCATTCAAGTTTGTCCCATAGGATTTTACATGTAAAAACTAATCTGATCAGATGCTATGAGCTTGATGGATTGTTTTTCATTTAGACACTTTGGCACAAGAATCCCTGTGACTGGAATCCCTGGAATCAGTAAAATTGTGAATACCATTCTATGGTCTGGTAACTCTAACACTTTGTCAAAGACATTAATGCTACGCAGATAAGATTTTTTTGTCCTAAGCAGCTACTGTGATTAGCAAAAGTTTACCGTGGATTAGCAACATTTGTGCCCAAGTAACATCTGTGTTGTGATCGGCATTTGGAGTATTTATTCATTTTTATGAAGAAAATCGCAATTTTGTGAATGGTTTTAAATAACATCTGTGGCAGTGCCTGGCAATGCCACTGTGTAATCTCCAATTCTGAGTCCATATTTTGATAGTGTCCAGCGCCTGTTGATGGCACAGGTGTGCACAGCCTTTAAAATAAAGGTGTTGGGAAGTGTTCAGGGCTCCACCTGGTAGACAGGAGAACTCCACCCAGGAGTCAGAGTGGAGTCCAGTGCAGCAGGGTGCTGCGGGTTGCAAAAACAAGAGTGCAGGATAGTACAAGGCTGAGAGTGTCTGGAGGAACAGACAGTGGCCTGAAGTCTGAGGCCGGAGCAGCGGTGCTGCAAATGCAAAGCCAGGATGCTAAATGTGCATGCATGTGTTGCCAAGAGATGCTAAAGAACCCCTGCGAGGGTAATTGTTTTTGTGAACTTTCATTTACTAAAAGTTGTCCAGGAAGTCCTTAAATTAAGATTTCAGCGAGTGGATGTGTCCATAATGCACTACTGTTTGGAGCTAATCCTCACACATCCTATAGTTATTATAGATTGTGTGATAAATTATGTTTTTCTAAAAAGTCAGTAATATCAAACTTGCATTAAATCCCTAGCTATATTTTAAAAATTGCATCATATGCAGATGGAGGAATGTTTAGTCATAGAATTGTGGGCAGGTTGGTTACATTTTTCGACCTTCAATTCTCTCGAATGTAAAATTTAGCCATATGAATGATTGAACTGTTTCTTTTTTTGGGATTGGAAATCTATGTTCTTAATCTTTTTGTTGGGTAATGATTATCCACCTCAGGGCAAATCCTTCTCTTTTCCTACTTCCTTTTCCCCTGTTTCGGTGGTTCTCCTTTCTGTCATTCTCTATTTTGTTCTTTCTCTTTGCTCTCACGTAAGGACTGATATATTGTTTGAGCCCCACTGTTTAAATGTTTAGATATGTTAACCTCATCTGGAGTACGCGGTCCAGTTCTGGTCACCAGTACTAAGAAAAGATGTCCTTGAGTTGGAAAAAGTCCAGCGGAGGGCAACCAAACTAATTAGGGGTATGGAGGACCAGAGCTACGAGACAAGGCTACTAAATTTAAACATGTTCACATTGGAGGTGAGGAGATTGAGGGGGGATATGATCTCCATGTACAAAATGTTCAATGGTGGCAGCAACATTAGCGATAAACTGTTTAAAATTAACTCCATTACAAAAACTAGAGGCCACCACCTAAAATTGGTGGAAAAAAAATTCCAGCACAAGGGGCGAAGGGGGTTCTTCACAGTAAGATCAGTTAGGGTCTGGAACTCACTGCCACAGACAGTGATTTCAGCAAAGAATGTGGAATTGTTCAAGAAACTTTTGGACGATTTCTTAAGGGACCGTAATATACAGGGGTACAGGTACTCCTAGAATGAGATCCTAATAGGTTGGACTTGATGGACTAATGTCTTTATTCAACCTCAAATACTATGTAACTATATATTATGAGGTGAGTGAAAAGCACTCACCTCATAGTTCTCCTTTAAGCTGTGTAAACCACCTTTTAAAGTGCATTCCAACATGCCTTAGTCGGACCTCCATAGAAGAGTCATCTTGACAGTGGTGCGTCATGGTCCTGGAAATGTGTATTTGAACCTCCTGTACCTTATTCCATTCAATGGTCTGTGCTGTGTGCTTGATACACTATTATAAATCCTGAATGTTTTTTATTGCTACATTCGCTATACATTCAATAAAACAAAGTTTGAACCATAAAATTGCATCATAAATTGTTAAATAGTCATTTCAATTTCGAGTGATGTCTCTTACCCATGATGAGGAGTGTAAGTCCGTTAAACAGAGCTCCGACGTATGTCAGCAGCCACATTAGTACTGCAAACTGGAAACAAAACAAACAATTATAACCTCAATCATGTTGGGTGAATAATAAGTGGAAACTACACAATTCTCAACCAAAGTTTTATGTAGTCAAGGCCCTTGCACTTCTGAACTGGGCAACATTACACTTATGATCAACTTGCCAGCAAGAGGATCACTGTCCAAAGGCAGCAAAACTACTCAGTAGTTTCCATGCTGATGCTCCCTCACCGGCCAAAACAGCGAGACGTCTCACCCCTTGTTGGTGGAAGCACCTGGGATTCTTCCTCACCAGGAGGTAGCATCATTTTGCTGTTCTGGTCAGTGAGGGAGCAATGCTACTGAGACAGGATCACAAGTGTGACATAGGCCTTAGGCCAAGTATCCGGGGCCGTTAAAACCAGGCCCTCAGTTTTGACAGCCATAATTTTCCACATAATTGATCGACACTACACTGAATTAGTCAATACTTCAAGAATGACAAAATACTTCAAGCCGCTACTAGAATTCATGTAGCATTTCACCTAAGCAAATTGAAGGATAACTCTACTTTTAGTTCAGCTATCCTTTAAATAACCCTCATTCACTGACCTCCTTTATACTTAAATTCCCTTTTTCTCTCTTTCTAGATTTTTGATGTGTACTCCAATAACAGCCACACAGCCGCCGCTCCAGAAGACTCTTTGAGGAAGGCTCTCCACTCATTCCTATGAATTCCTGCCCGGAAGACTTTTGGAACAGTGGCTGTACAGTTTCCAGTGGGCCACACAGCAAACATCAAGAGTGAGGACAGGTAAAAATAATCCTATTTACAAAGCACCAAAATACTCTTCCTGAAATCCTGCACTAAATAATCCCAGCTCGCTCCCGTGATGGACTTCAATTTCAATATAAATTAGTAAACTAAATGGGAGATTGCAGTCCATCACAGGAGTGAGCTTGGAATTGTGGCTACTTTACAACACACACAGGGACCTTGGGGAACAAAAGTAGTCACCCTCCAGAAGGAAGGACAGCGTCAGCACCAATTCAGAGGTGATCTTTAATTTACCATTTGCTGGCTCTGATTACCTTGATGCATTTGCTATAGTAGTGAGACTTGCATTTAACCTTATGCTGATCTGATTACCTTGATACAATTACTATATGGATAAGACTTTCATTTAACCACATGCTGGATCTGATTACTGATTGCTGCATTTGTTATATGAATAAGACTTTAAGTTATACCCAAATGTGGTATATTCACCAAGTTACCCTAAGGAACCAGTAGGGGGTAAGGAGTAATACCTTCCCTGTGCAGAATCAATAATTCCCTGATCCAGTTGGCAGATGATGTAAAGAACTCCAAACTCTCCGCTATAGACTGAGAGTGACATCTGGAGTTCAGTACTGATTGCCATTATAAGATACACACCCAAAACCTCTGCCACTCCTCTCTCTGCAGTTGTGGTTCACAACCGCAGACAGTTGGGCGTGACAGTGATACACAAATAAGATACATTTTTTATAATAGTTCAGGTACTTGAATACATTTTTAAGATTTACCTGCTGAGTTTAGTGTTGCTTTAACTGGGATTTTGTGTAATCCCTGTAGATAAGCACCAACCACATACAAACTTCCAAGGCAGGTATGAATCGAATATGTGGCTGTGAGAAACTTCCTACTAAAGACAATTGTACATTACCTTACTTTTCACAGACAACTGAATGCAAAAAGAAAAATGAGAAAACGTACTGGACTGCAGTCTGCCATATATATTAGCTTGTATACATCAGAGCTGCCCGTGTGTAAAGCCATCAATCACATTTTTTCATTCCTAAAGTAGGAATCTGAAAGTCATCTGACTTATGTCTGTAGACAACCCAATCTTTATTTTCATTAGTGATGACCTGTGTGGTTTTATGAGGGGATTATCAGTAATAGCATACAGGTGAATGGTTATCAGTCATACCTTTAATGAATCAACCAGGTCTTGTACCAGGAAGAGTCTCCTGAGCTCTCGGACTATGCTGTTTAAGTACACCTGTAGGCAGTCTGTGTATTTCTGAATCTGTTCTTGAGAAAGGGAGATCTCCACATCCAAGTAGTTTCTGCAAGGCAAGAAGTGCAATGTTTATTCATTGTTGGAGGTAATTAATTCTGCCAAGGTTATGAAAAAAGATTTAATGTGAATACATCTAAACTTGAAAAGCATGCTTTCAGACTTGTGATCAACAAATAATTGAACTTTCTGGCTTTTATTTTAAGAGTTCACTACCTGGTAAGATCAGCTGAATTCTCCAGCCTGCTCACTGGTGAACTGTAACATCACACTACTGTTAGCAGAAGAGGGCAGTAAAGAAGTGGTTTGGTATGATTGGAAGAGATGGGAGCTAGTTGGGTGTCTGCTTTTGCTCTCTTCATCTCCTTCTCCTCCCATCAGCAATAAAAGGCAATTGAGGAGCAGAATATGGCAGATATGGTGGATATGGCAGTCACAACGGCAACAAGAACCTAGGCTCCTATGGGGCCCCCACCACCCATCAGATCTGAAGCTAGCTCCATTCTTCTTTCAGCAAACTGCATTAATACTATTGAGGAGAAAGCTGGCATACAGAAAATGTGCTATCATTCAAACGATGTGTTATTGCACTTTGCTACTCCACCTTAGTACCAGACCGCTCCTTAATACTAAACAGAAGTGCAGCATGGGTCAGAGAGATCAATGCTAACCTTATTTCCACAGTCCTAAAAAAGATAACTTTTGCATCTTGACAACTCGGTATAGAAGTCAGAATGAGAAGGTTCCTTTGGGTTATTGTGCTCTACACAATCATTTGCCTGATTGAAGAGAAACTGAACTCTGGAAGCTTTGCCTAAAAAAAGACAGTCAGAGGGCCTAGGACTAGTCACTGGTCTCCCTGAAGCCAATTGTTCCCTATTACTTACTTAGCATGCCTTGTTCTGCATTGTGTCTCTGTGTAGAGGCAGCCATCTTGGTAGAGGCAAGACTTTGCTTCTCCATATCAGAGTATTCAGTAAGGAGAACAGTGAGCAGCATAGAAGTGTCATCACCAAATCTCACCCCATATGTCCTAAGACTAGCAGTCATGAGTAGCAGTGCCTTAATCAATCACACATTGTAGATTTACAGCTATGAGGCTGTCTGCACCCTCATATACCAGGAAGTGCCCTGTTATTGGAATTCCAGACAAAGTGTAAATATTTTAGGGTTCTGCTTAGGCAAAACCTATAGCATTTCTAAATATTCCATATACCATAGCAAATCCTCACATTTTGAGTTCAGTTCCACTTTAACCAGTGCCTGACAGTGTATGGCATAAGCAAAATATACAGTCTAAACTACTTACTTAAATGGATGACCTTCATCGGTTTTCTGTACAGCCTGTAAAACTGATTTATAGATTCTGAAGCTGATTGTGGCTGAGAGGGCAGCAAGTGCTAGGTAGGCGATGACACTGACCACACTGAACTGGGTCAGGGAGAAGAGCATCAGAAGGACACTTCCAAATACAATTCCTGACTGCTTCACATCCCGCCAGTATAACAAGTCAATAGCTGTAAAATATCAAAATGGGTTCAAAATGAGTCATAAAATCGCATTAAAAAGCAGAAAATAATTTTTATTTAATGTTCAGTATATTGTACTTCAAATACTCTGCCTACTATAGTTTCAGCTTTCACATTAATGATTCACAGAATATGCATTATGCATTGTATCATACACAGCACTTCAAACCATATGACAAGTTTATGATTTATTAAACCTTCTCATAACAAATGTGTGAATAAACCAAAATTGCCATGCAAGGGCTGGCATCAACTTCTTTTTATCAGCCCAGATCCACAGGGGGCCCTGGCACCCCACTTGTGCTTGGTATCTAAATATCAGTTCTGTGAAAGCTGGAGTGTAAGGCACCCCAGATCAATGACTCAGACATTTGTCTGTTATTCCTCCCACCCCCTATGCCAGGGATGCTTGGCTGCTGTTCACTGTCAGCACTTTTATAGCCATAAACACGAACACTCAAGCTGTCTTTTCTTTGGGCGCCTTAGAGAAAACCAGCAGAATGAAACCCTCCTCCTCTCTTCTCATTGTCAAAGACTTCTAAGGTGCCCTTACTTATCGTACCTGTTCTACTGCAGCAATCCACACTGCAGGGGTGGTGTGCTTAGATAAGTCGGAGTTACAACTGAAAGATATGGCTAGCAATTATTAGATTCTTCCAGTCTGCAGAAGAGATCAAAGCAGCAGACAGGAGTAGGGAAGGCATGTAAAGGCTCCAGAGGGCGGCTTCTATGCAACTGGGAGGATAGTTTTGGGTTTTATACTTCAGGGCTACAACCATACATTATCAATAATGAAAAATCAGGACATCTTACCAAAGCATTCCATCAGGAAGGCCAACCTCTGCTAGGCCCTAGCACACTTTTGAAACAAAAGGTTAACAGAGAATATTGGTGCTGATTTGACCTACTAATCCTTACTATTACCAGTTAATTGTGCTTAGGTTTTGGCCACCAAAAAATGAGACACGAGAGATGCTTTTATGTTTGGAGAACTATAAAGAGTATTTTGACTCCTCTTAACATGCCCTACACCCCCTACAATTCCCTGGATAAATTAAGCAATGCATGTCCAAAGGTCAACAATCGAGAAGAACTAAATAGGGAAAAAGTTACCACAATTTGTACATTTTGAGGCTTGGTGCGGCTCCCACTAGGGCTTGTGTGGATGGCATCAGCTTGACATCAGTCTGAAATGCTTGTGAGATCATTCAGAATTAATTGGCCAGTGCATTTGACCTCTTCCTAATTTTCATTTGATCTGCTTCAAGACTTGTATGAGAATGAAAAACCAGTCTGATGTGAACAAAGGCCCATCGATTGACACAGGCCCTGCTGCCCTAGGCACTGGCATTGAGTGCCTTATGGTATATTCAGCCTATACAGTTCTTTCTTTAAATTTGTGGTTTGACTATAGTCTGAGCTTTGCCCTTGTTTTTAACTTCAATTCTACAACATAACCTTCTATTTCCAGCTTCTATAAACTGGAGAATATTTAAAGACTTAGTGAAGTGCTGCAATAAATACAATAATTTTCCGATTGTTATAAACAGCCTGAGATGCTTACTTTTATTCTCATTCACATTGTGTTGGTATACAATAGTAATGCGATGATTGACATAAATGCAAATTTACCTCTAACAAGCTGAAAACAATTATTTCCTATGGAAAGGTTTATCTTTTCATTTACTATTTTTCTACTGCGGGAGATTGTACTCCTGACACCTAGTTCTTCTATAATGTATCTTACACTTAAAGGGTTATTCACAAAGCTGCAGAAGGCAGCCAAATGAATAACCCAGCCGCAGTGAAGTGAGCCGAACGCTGTTCGGCTATTCACTTCAGGCTTGTACTGCTGATCTCAGCCGTACATTGGCTGAAATTGGCCATACATCGGCTGCCATCGGCTGCACTCCGGTCAGTCGAACATGCTCTGCATGTTCGGCTGAGCCGAAGTGTAGAAGGACTTCGACTCAGCCGATCCAACATGTGGATCGGCTGAGCAGAAGCTCCGGCAGCTCACTGGCTGCCGTTCGCCCCTATTCTCATAGGGGCCAAACGGCAGTGAGCGAATAGCCGAATGCCGCTCTGAATAACCGAATGCCACCGGGCGGCATTCGGCTCGGCTATTCTGCTTGGTACCTCCGTGGTACCGAGCAGAATAGCAATTCAATGAAAAGAGTAAAAAAATCAAGTTGAAAAAATATCTTTAAAAATGTAAATAAATGTTAAATCTAAAAAAAGAAAGATTTAAAAAAAGAAAAAAAATTATAAAAATTGGGCTTGCTCCGCCCAACTGTTCCTATTGGCCGGCACCTGCTAGAGCCTTCCTGCTAGAGCCAATGAATAACAACTGGGCAGAGCCGGCCGTGATGTCACAGCCGGCTCCGCCCAGTTGTGATTGTTTAGTGGCAGTTTAGCGTCCTCAGGTCATTTGGAGGCGCTGATCCGTCATTGCAACTGGGCGGAGCCAGCCATGAGGCTTCGCCCAGCTGTTATTTGCGAGGCTTAGGGCCGGTCTTTGGCTCCACTTTCCCTGTCACTTCAGCTCAGGTGAGTGAACCAAAGGGCTCCCGCAACCGAAGCTAGCCGAAGGATTAGCCGAAGCTTCGGCTGATCCTTCGGCTAGCTTTGTGAATAGACCCCTTAGTGTTGCACAAAAAATGGCACTGACCAACTTTGATCAAAGGGAATATCTTCTCCCACATACCGTAGAGATAGGGAGATCATCCTACCTGTGCTGAATAATGGAAGTATATTTTAAAGCAAACAGAACACTAGAAATGTATTTTAAAATTTTTTTGACAGATAGGAGCATGTATAGCATCTTTGTCTTGGTTGATGAGATTTTTGTAATCAGATTTCAAATACTGTTTGAGCACCCATAGAGGATATTTTTCTTCTTCTGTTCTATGTGACACCTATCACATGAACACAGGAAATCTCTCTCGTTGGGACACAGACAGCTATAAAATCCTGATAGAGGTTCTAAACCTCCAACACTCAGCTTTACACTGGTTTATACTGCTCTCTGTGTCCCCGTTGGAGGGATTTTCCCTCTCTTCCTGTTCTTTCTGACACCTAATATATAGACAGGAAGCAGAAATAGCTCAAATAGGGACAAAGGCAGCAATACCAAGTTGGCAAAAAATCTTACCTTTCCTTTAATCAAAAAACAGACATACCTATTAAGGAAGTCAGCAAATATTCACCTCTACTGCTGCCAGGGCTGCTGAAAGCCACTCCGATCCTGGGAAATTCCAAACCTGTTAAAGTCCAAAGGGTATTTGACACTTCCTGGAGTGTCGATCTCCTGGGTCCCCTTCTGCTCTCACCACCACCACCTGATCTCCACCCATTACAGGATACAGCACTGATATGCAAGTCATCAGGAGGAACCAGTGATTTCTCAGGATCGGAGCAGCATTCAGCAGCATTGACAGCAGGAAAGGTAAGCATTAAATTACTTCTTTTACAGGTATGGCTAAGTTTTAATATTTACTATAGACACCGGGACAGTTGTGGACAGTCTCGCATTGTGTCACACAAATGCTGTGTCCCAGGCCATGCCCTGAGATCACAGCATTGCCCTTATTTCAGTTACTGCACATGCACATTAAAGGAGAACTATGAGATGAGTGATTTCTACTCATCTCATAGTTCTAAGCCGACCTGTGACAATGAGACTGTCACAGGTCGGCTCAGTAGATCGGGAGGTGTGGGAACACATACCGGGTTCCCTCACCTCTCGTTTCTATCACGGCTCTCTGCCGTGACAGGGGGAGGGGCTGGATTCCCCTCTCCCAGCTTCGATCTGCCAGCGCTGACTGGCGGAACGGACGGGGGAGGGGGGCGGGTACAGCTGGCTCTGCCTCTAGATAGGCAGAGCCAGCTGTCACTCGCGCAGCTGGGCGGATCCCGTCATCTACGTCGGGATCCGCTCCAGGTGCGGCGTCTCAGTATACCGCGAGCTGTAGCTCGCGGGATACTGAGCTTAGGGTAACGGGAGGACACAAACTAGCGTCCTCCCGTTACCCTAAGGAGAACTATGGGGAAAAACACTGACCCCATAGTTCTCCTTTAAATAAAAAAGGCATTAACATAGGGAATCTGGGCTGTGAGTGGGTGGTCCCTGCATATTTAGAGGTGGGACCAGGGAAGGACCGACCGTTAACGTTGGTGTAAACCGCGATCCCCGCATATTTAGGGACGAGGTCTGGGCAGGACCAATACGTAAAGTGGGTGTGATTTGGGTGGGGTAAAGTGCCCCAGGATCCGAGACCATAATGTTAGTAAGTATGCTTTAAGTTTTATCCAATGTGAGCTTTAACCATAACAATATGTTTTTTTTTCTTTCTGAAGATACCTCCATAGCCTTATTTAGATAAACTATACTGTAATTTAAATTTTCTTTCTGAAACCAGGGTTTAATCCGTGGTCTCTAATCAACAGTGCATCAATATGCTCAAAAACTGTATAGATGAAAACCTGATACATCATACACTATGCAGATTAGATTAGACAAGGTTCACAACTTCATATCAAATACATATTTTGTTGCTTTCATTTATTTTGGGGATTATCCTGTTACAAAGCAAAACACCTATATGATTAGGATGCATATTTTGGCAAGCGTCATATTTAGGTCAATGTCATGGAACTGGTCTTTTATATACAAGTCAGCAAAAGGAAAACATCACACAGGTATCTTCCTTTTATCCCGTTCAGGACTCTTTTCTCATACACAATACAGCACACTGCTGAAATGATGCTACCCATACATGCATCAAGCTTTGCAAAGGAACAGCAAGAGCAACCAGATGCCAGAAGCAATTGTTCAAGGCGACACAAACAGACAATTCACCTGCATCAGTACAATCACTTTCAATGCCAGAAATTTATTGGAAAAAAAGGGATGTTTTCAGAACAGATCAGTTATGAAGATGTTCTAGGAAGATGAAAAAGAGCTCATTGAATAACCTATGGGCTAC